GGTAAACTTAATAGATTATTTGTAGTTATATTATATGCGTTAACTAGCCTTCTAAACCAAAATGTGCTGATTATGTTTGCAGAGTGGTGATGACGCTGAAGAAGACTGGTCTGATGCTTTGCATAAGCTATTCGATTAGGATGATGTTTCCGAGGAGAGTGGATTCTCTGATGCCATCAACTTGTCTGATATATTAGATACATCTTTTATACAAGTTGCTATATATATATATATATATATATATACATTGATGATACTTTCTTCCTTGTAGGTTGTATGGTGCACTCCTAATTAAGCTGGATTTCAACGGTATCAAGCTGAATTTTTCTTGGCACCTAAAATGTTATTTCAACTCCTTACAGGTTATAGGGTCCATTCACTTGTGCTTCGTCTTATCAAAAAGACTTCAATTTTTCTGGTTTGTATTGCGTGAGAGAATTTTTATACTCGATTTTATTTTCATTTAGATAACTTGATACTGCTATTAGATTATGAATGGAATTATATATATACACACACACGTCTTATGCATCTTAATTATGTCTCTTTTCCACCTTTGCAAACCCTCTGTTGACTAATTGGCTCACTGTCAGTCATGAATTTACCCTTTACTCACCAGCCATGCAGTCTAATAATAAAATTACTTGTGTTATTAGTCACAAATCTAAGTTAAATCCCTCGTCCCTACATAAAACATTTATCCTCCACTCACAATTTTAATGATTCATTAGGTTCCTCAGACTGTAGAAGTAGAACTCAGCGTAACTATATAAATTACAGCCTACTATCGTGAGTCGGTCCCAAGCCCAGATCTGTTCACAGGTCCTGGGCCAAATTTAACGCGAGCAGGCCTGGTTGCGCCCAGCCTATGCGATCATCTGCCCTTTCTTTCACTAGTTCTCTCTAGCTCTCCTCAATCCAGAGGAAGTGGACAACCCCCTTCACTTAGCATTCCGACAACCAACTCCAACTCTAATGATGCCTTTGGTGCAACAGATTATCTGGAGATATTTCCACTGTTTCATGAAGTTTGAGTGTCTCCAAGACAGTCTGATCATAGCTCTACCTTCGGCTGTTTCTGTTCTCTTTCGTGCCGACCAAATGTCTGTTAAAATGCGCCACGGACATTGGCGGCAGTGTACGCAAACATGCGCTGTTGCAGGTCAATTTTACTCTAGAATAAAATTAGTAGTAATTTTATTTCATCGTAATTTATTTTTCGTGATTTTAGTTTATTATCCTAGTAACCTATAAAAATAAAATAAATTATTAATAAATTACTTTTTGGTTTGCTGGTGGACTGGTAGTGATGATTTCTTTATTAAACTATAAATATACATAAGAATCTAAGAATAACTACATTTTGGGTTTGTTGTTAGTACTGCATTGTCACATGGCTATAGGTTTGTTTTTAATCGTTTTTTATCTGAAAATATATAAAATAATAATTAAAATTATTTAAAATATAAAAAAATTAATTAATAATAATAA